TTATTATATTATTTTATTATAATATTATTTCCCCATATGTACATATAACGTCAAAACTATATATATATAGGATATTGCTCTAATTGTATTCACCTTGAGTATTTCTTTTATTTGTGATCGTAAAGAAACTTAAAAGAAAAAAACTGCACTATTGCCCAAGGGGAAGTTCTATATATTGATGGAATTTGTTTACTCAAGGTTTTCTTTTATTATTAGATTTCAAAATTGTCAATGGTTTCTTATTAAATCTAACTGAATGCACAGATAATTATAAAAGTGATTTAATGTAAGAAAAATTTATCAACAAAAAGTAATTTTAATTTATCAGTTATTTAATATTACATTATTTTAAATTAAATTAATTCGAATTTTGAATATTTTAACGTTATTGTCAAATCGTGTTTGTTATTTCAACATTATTTCATATTATTTATTCAAACTTTATTAATTTATTCACAAATGTGTAATCCTTTATATAATATCTCAACAAAAAATTATTATTTTTATAATTAATAATCACTTTCATAATTATAAAACTTATATAATATATTTAATATTAAAATAATATAACTTACCGTTTATTTGTTAACAGTTTCGTAGAAAAAACAAAAAAAAGAAAACAAGATTCGCGTAGATATGTTTTTTCAAGAAAGAAAACAAGAGTTCGCAACAAGAGAACTGGCAAAAGAGAGAACTGGCTTGTGAATGATCAAACCCGAGGAGAAGAATGTTTGCTTCGACAAAGGACAAGGTAATATCAGCAGAAAACAGGTCTTCCAAGCTTTTATACATATATGCTATATGCACACTGTGGTAAATCGTTATACAAACATAAACGTTTTCATAGATAGGCAGAAATAGAAAGAAGAGTGGTGGTGGTGATGATGATGATGGTGGTAGTGGTGGTGGTTAACACGTAACCAGTGGTGGGAGCTTATTCAGAAGTTGAGGAAAGATAAAACGAAGGAAAACCAAATACATGAGAAACAAGGAAAATATTAAGAAAAAACAAAATATATATATATGAATGTAGATAAAAGGGAAGGTCATAAAATAATACTGTTTGATCTTTAGTTAATTTGTTTACCAGAACGTTTGATATTAATATTTGTTTTTTTTTTTCTTTTATTTTCTTTTTTCACTCTACTTTTTAGAATTTAATTATCGTTGTTTTAGTATATATGATGCACATTGTAAATCAATGTTCAGTATCTTGTGTATCATATACTCTTAACTCTTCTTCACAAGACGTTTATTAAAGTGCAAAGACCTTTTCCCTTTTCCCATCCTTTTCCCTTTCCCTTCCCTTCTCTTCTCTTCTCTTCTCTTCTTTTTATTCCTTTTACTATTCCTGCTACACCGGTTTATTTTAACCTTATTTCTTCTTCCTGTTTCTAACATCGTAGCAAGAAACGTCATTCTTATGTGATAACAAGAATTAACTTTAATGTTCGTTAAGTTTCTAAAACCATAAGGAAAAAAATAACATTGTAATACACTTTCGATTATCATTCAATGGAGATTGTATTCATGATGGATTTGACCTTACGTAATTTCTTGGGTTTTAATGTTGAGTAACATTTTGACCACTACGTGTGATATAATTATGCATACGAGGAAAAGAAAGTCAAATGTTGACTGGTGGTAGGATTTGCGACGAATATGAATTAACGTGGCAAAAAAACGTGCACGAAATAATAATAATAATAATAATAATAATAATTTTTAGTTAATCGAAATATAAGAGAAAGAGAAAGAGAGAGATAAAATGAAAATTGTTTGAGTTATTACATTCGTTTTAGTTGGATAAATTTTGACATGGAAAGATAATAATATGCAATAATCTTTAGACTAATGTTTGCTCGGAATTACATGAAGGTTTTTTGTGATTTTATCTTTAACCGTAAACATTTAGATTGATTGGATTAATGTATTAAACGATTAAATATGAAACGTTTGATTTTTTTAACTGATAATTAAGTGGAGTAATCAAACGTTTCATATTTAATACAAATCTAAATAGAAATTTA